AATGCAATAGCATCTTTCTCAGATACTCCCTGCCTCCTAAATGCAGATGTCTTTCAAACCCTACATCTCCAGTTTGTCATGCAGTTATTCTGTAAAAAAAAAATCCAACTCTTGCCCGAGCTGAGAGCTCTGCTAATGATGTGTAAACTGAATTGTGCAAAATTGGTGGAATGCCCCTTTAACTCAAAATGTTGGGAAAGCATGGCCTTGTGGAGGCTTTTCATAGTGACTTACAAAGTGATCTTGTAGCATTAATTTAAACCTTTACAGTGTACTGGAATGCAGAGATACAGTCTCTTGTGCACCAAGCAGCTTTTCATGGATTTACAGCCATATGTGCAGTGCAGATGATTCTTGTCAGTTTGATCATCTCAGCATGTGAGGCTGGTGTGTTCAGAGGAGGAGGAAATGTCAGTCTGGATGGAGAGTGAAATGGGTCTGCAGACAGCAGAGGCATTGGTCACATGAGAGCTATGAAGGGCTCTTCTATTTGTAGGCTCTCTGAAGGACATGAAGCTGTCTCTGCTGCTCTCTAAGCCGCACTACAGACTGACATGCATTTAGTCCACACTAAGCAGGAGAGACATGTCTGACCTTTCGGGAAATGTTAGGCTGCAACACTGGCAGGAGCCTATGGTGATTAAATACCAGGACGAAAAAAGCAAAACACAGGCTACATTTACTGCATTACATTTACCCACCAGCAGCCTCACTAGCTTTCTCCCTCCTCTCCTCAGATAATGACATTTTGCACCATCTCACCTCACTTGCACTCTGTCATTCCGACAAGAATATAACAAGAGTCACAACCCCATATTGTGTTGACAAAGAATTCACCTCTGGCCTCAAAGTCCAGCCACAGCTACCTGCTGGGTTTCATCTTTCTGCCTGGAAACACATATTGACGCAGAAAAGTACTTTTGAGCCTCTCCCCACGTTCATGTGATGCAATTCTTAGCACAACTTCTAAAAGACATCCCCACTTCAAAATGTCCATGTAAACCTCTGTTCCTCTCCTCTGTCCCTCCAATTTCCTCTCATAGTTATGACACAAATCTCTCGTGGCCAGCCTTCATGGCTCACATGCCTGTCACAGATGTCAATGTGTAGCCAAATAATTCCTTCGTTGTCATCTTTCTCCTGTTTGTCTCTCACGCTCACCTCTATCTCTCTTTGTGTTTCTCTTCCTGCTCTACCACTGAGGGAGATAAAAGACAAATAAAAGCACTGCTTCCTCGCTCCGCCTGTCTATCCAGGCATAAAGCACCTCTCTGCGGATCTCTCTCTGTGTGCCCTGGCCCTGATTACAGCTGGCAGCGTCACTGATAATCATGTCATTTAGATGCAGCCTGTCCTCTCCCCCATTAGCAAGTCTAAGCTGAGAGTATCCCAAACACACAGTCAAACGAGCTGCACTGCTTTACAACAATGTGTTTAACATTCTGAAGGCATCTGTGCTGATGGTTAAAGGAGGTTTTATACATATATATATATATAAAGCAGTGTGTGTGTTTCTTATCTGGTTTCTTCATATATATATA